CATGAAGCTATTTGTAATTTGTGAGTCTGGCCAAAGGATTAAAAATATGAGATTTAGTATAAATGGTCTTAAGTCTGCTAGAATATGGAATCGAAAAGGATCAATGAGGCCGTGAGCACAACTTACTTGCCCCTCCAAATAGTTCAATAATGGCTGCTCTGCTACCAGTCGAGGAGGTTTCTTTGTTGGAACACTGGCGTTTACTAATTTTTCATCAGCATTGAAATCTGCTGTAGCACCACATGCTATAGCCATGCCTCCAACTCCAAATCCGCAATTCCTAGGTAGCCCCAAGCTGCCGGATGATCCAGTAAGCACTTCCTCATTGGCTATACCAGTCTCCTCGCTTGACGGTCCCAGGCCTGCTCGCGAGCGCATCTTTTTATTGTCAAAGGAGTGACAATAAATAGTAGCATTGGGTCTGCTACGCCTAGCACCATTGAGACCGCCAGTAGTCATTTCAATGCCGTTGGTAAGTGCCAAATGCTGTGGGAGGTGGAGTCCATCAGAAAAACTAGGACTGGAAACGGATCCGATAAGACCAGTGCCAAGAAGTCCAGTAGCCATTCCAGTAGAAATAAGGCCAGTGCTCAGACCTAGGCCTATGCTATTTCGTGACCTTGATGGCTTCAGAACTAAGGGCAGAGCTGAAGCAGTAATGGCGTTAGCTGCAATAGCATGCTCACCTACTTCATCATCACATCCGAGCTCGACAGAAATGCTACCTCCAATTGGCGAACGGGCGGCCCACACCCTAGGATTAAGTCGATCTAGGAGACTATTAGCGCTGCTTCCTGGACGTCGTAGCAAGCCCATGGGAACAACAGAATCCTAAGAAAGGAAGATCGTGAGTTATAAATTGTAGCAAATCTATCTAGCTATGAGGTCATAACTCAGTATGATGAATTGGAAGTAAAGTGTAGGACCTTAAAATAACGAATAAAATTAATAATTATTTTTAAAAGTATTGCATTTCATCAATTATGAAATAAATTTTAGCTATTCTTTTAAAGCAAGTCAAGTTCCTTTCAATCTTAATAATAAAAGATGCTAAAACAAAAGTTAAAACCAATTCTATTTAATAAAATACAACTATATTTGAGATGCTCATTACTCAATGAAAAAGTAAGGATACAAATGAAGAAGTAAGCATCATTTACGAGTAGATAATTATGAAATGCATTTATTTCTAGAAGACTGTCAGGAAGTAAGTTAAAGGTATGACCAAATTATTAACTTAGCTTTACAGGCATCATGACACACCCACATATAGTATAGCTCTTTATAAAAATTCACATGTCAAGCCATTTAAACTAAATTGACTTGCGCAGTAAAACATCCCCCTTCCTTTGAAACCCACATATATATGAATATAAATGATAGAAATAGTACTAAATAATGAGCTCTTTAAATATTATAAATAAAAAAGATAAAGGTATATTAATTTTCTTACATAGTGATACATAAACCCACTTATATTTCCATTCAAATAATCATTTGCTGCGCATATTGATTAAGCGAGATTAGGGGGATAAATCGCTTCAAAACGAAAATAGAGAGCATGTACCATATAGCAATGTTATGATGGTATCATGTCACTTTCACAAAATTTCGAAAAGTTAAATTCATACTTATCATAGAATTTGATACTTTTCATTCTGATTGCTTATGTGCATACTAAATAAGATGACTTAAAATGACTGCAATGGACGCTTCTTGAATGCCTGTGCTATCTAACCAGCAAACTAGCAGAATATATTCATCTTATAGTAAGAAGTATCTTGATTTCTTGCATAGTAAAATTCTTAAAGTTCATAGATTTGTCTTGAATTAATTTTAGCCATAATACTAAGAGTGAAGTCAGGTTTTGTAAAACTAAATGGGGTTTCATGCTTTAATAGTGACGCATTTTGCTGTAAACCGTCAATTTAGTACATATTAAGGCGCACTGCTATTATTTTAGTCTACAAAGCCCATAAGATTTGAGAGTAT